AAGTGTTATGTGTCTGAGGCTGGATTTGAACTCAGGTCCTCCTGGATCCAGGGCTGGTGCTCTATCCACTGTGCCACCTAGCTGCCCCAGGCTTATAGCCTTCTCAAGTTAAATAACTTTGTGTCAGTGTGGTAGCTGACTTTCGATGCTGTTTTTTGTCCTTATTGAAGGTGTCCCACAGCATTGCAAAAACATCATGTGAAAATCACAGGAGCAAGCACACAACCTTGCTGAAGCACTGGTGACTGGGGAAGCACTGTTCTGTTATCCAAAACTCATGTAAGCATGCCACCATGAAAGCTGATGTATAATACTGATAAACTTCTGTGGGCAACCAAATTTTGCTGTGACTTTCCACAAGCCCTCATGACTGACAGCGTCAAAGGCCTTGGTCAGAATGACATACTCTGTTCTGCTCCTGGCATGTCTCCTGGAGTTGCTGAGCAGCAAACACCGTATCAACCATTCCTCAGCCTTTTCTGAAGCCACACTGGCTCTCAGATAGATGACCATCTTCCAGGTGAAGGATCAGCCTGATAAGGAAGACTCTGGCAAAAAGCTTGCCAGCAATCACTGAGAGACCCCCCTGCGATGATCACAGGACCATTTATTTCATTTAGCTTTAAGGAGAGGGACAATGGAGACATTCTTGAACTCTTGGGAGATAACCTTCTCTTGCCATATAATCTGGAAAATTTCAGTCAGCTTATGTATGAGCAGTAGACCCCTTGCCTTATAAATCTCAGCTGGAATAGGATCTGCTCCAGGTCCTTTGCCATACAAGAGGAGCCTGATCGCATCAAAACTTCTTTAGTTGGAAATCTGGCTAGAGAGTGATTGACTTCTATGGCTTTGACATTGATTAATGATGGTATGTTGAAAACACTATGAAAGTAATCAGCCTATTTCTCCAGGATCATGTCTTTGTCCCTAATCAATGTGGTTCCACCGGCACTGAGTAGTTGAGATGTCTTTAGCTCATCAATAGGGCATCATAAAACACTTTGAATTGTTACTAGAAGCATAAAACTGAATTTCGTCTGCGTTCTCATTGAGCCAAGAATCCTGCATCTCTGTAAGCTTCACTTGTACTTTACTTTTGCTGGGGTTAAACACTGCCTTCTTAGAGATGGATGAACTATATTGTTGGTAAACCCTATGGCATTCTCATTTTTCATTTAGCAGTTTCTGAGTCTCCTTATCATTTTCTCCAAACCAGTCTTGATGTTTGTGAGTGTTCTGGCCCGGATGAGTAAGTGCAGTGCTGTACTCCAAATCTTTGAAAGTTGCTCACTCCTTTTCTACTCCACTGTTACCAATCATGTGTTGGCTCAGCTTTCCCTTAGTAGCAAGAAACTGTTCACCTACAGAAAATCGAAAATCACTCTGATCTATTGATATTCAGTCTTCCAGCTGTCTTGCCTTGGGGCTGCATGTGAATGTTCAGGTTGGAGAGGAGTGCTTTGAATTATGCATTGCCTTTGTTACTCTCACACCCTGTCTGTCTCTTCTCTTTACAATGACATAGTCTACTAAATGCCAATGTTTGCTGAAGTTTAATTGCATTTAGGCAAATGGAAGACAGTGTTGGTGATGAGAAGGTCATGAGATGCACAAGTCTTCAGCAGTAAGTGACCACTGCTGTTGCTGTTTCTGATTCCATTCCTCCCAAGGACTCTCTGCCATGTCTGACAGTCTGTGCCTATTGTGGTGGTAAAGTCACCCAGAATTATAAACTTGTCCTCTTTTGGCACATTGATAATGATAGTCTCCAGGTCTTCATAAAAGTTTTCTTCGACCTCATCAGGGTTTGTCATGATGGGAGCGTACACATTGATAATGGTAGTGTGGCACTTTCCTACAATGGGCAATTGTATTGTCATCAGTGTGTCATTTACTCCTTTTGGAAGGCATACAAGCTTATTGACTAGATAAGTTTTGATCACAAAACCTATGCCAGCTTCACTGTGCCCCCCATCAGTGTGGCCACTCCAGAAAAATGTGTATCCAGCTCTTACTTCAGTAAGCTGGTCTTCATTTGCCAGCTTTGTTTCTCCCAGGGCTGTTATTTATATGTGATACCTGCTGAGTTCTTTCACAGCAGGTGTTCATCTTTCAGGTCTACTGCATTTCATGTTGTTCATAAGCATGTGCACATTCCATATGATGGTGAATGGAATTATCTTCACAAAAGTTTTTATGCGCTTTTTTGTGTGTGTCAACCATGGGGTAGAATCCCTGCCTGCTGCAGTAAGCAGGCCAGGGTTGGGTGAAACAGACAATTTGTAGGGCACTATTTCTAGTCCTTTCCTTATGCCAAGAGGTGAGCAGTGCAGTACTTAGACACCCATGAGGCTGCTGAATCCCACTGCTGCTTCAGTCCAGTGAGAAAATGATCCTATGGCCTGGGCTACCTGTGTGCAGAGTTGTGACTACAGATCCTAGTGTATCCCCACCTACTGCTTCCTCACTTGACTGTCACCATAGGACTTTGAGTTAGGTAAAAATAGTAAAATGGTATGGGTGATGTCTTTTGACTCATAGTAAATTGAATTTAAGTGAGGCAGAGTTGTGCAAAGTTGCCAGCCTCACTTTCTCTTCTGTAGTCATCAAAGTCTAGTGTCGAGACAAAAATCAAAGATGATTGGCGATATCTTGGGATACAGTGGATGACCTTGGCATCTTAGAGGTCTAACCAAGCTCTAACTGTTCCACAGAGCCTGCTTTAGCCGCCCTCGTGGCCGTTGGAACAAATTGTTCTCATCTACCCATTCTGCCAAGGGAAGCCTTCGCATGCTTGAGGTAGACATCCTCCTAACTCACCAACAGGTTTGAAACCCCTCAGTTACCTTCAACCTGCTTTAGCCTGTCTGCCTAAAAGGTTTACTGGTGTATGCTACAGCTTCTTGGACCACAGGTAAAATCAGGTGGACATCAAAGGTAGAAAGCAGCCCTGAAAAAGGCTCAGCAGCCCCCACACCACAGGTACTAGTCTTCCCTGAGACCCCTAAAGCCCTTTGGAAGGACAGGGGAGACATGGAAAGGGAAGAAACTCACTATGTGCCAGGCACTAAGCTAGTGTTTACAGATACTCAATTGATCCTCACAACAATCCTGGGAAGTAAGTGTTATTATTGTCCCTATTTTACAGTGGAGGAAACTGAGGCAGACAGAATTTAAAAAATTTACCCAGGGTCACATGGCTAGTAAGTATTGAAAGCCTGATTTGAATTCAGGACTTCCTGTCTCTAGACCCGGCACTCTATCCACTTTTCTGCCTGGAAACACGTTGAAGTATTTGTAGGCAACAGGGAAGGAGAGTAGATAGGGAGAGAGTGAAGATGAGAGAGTAGGGATGATAATGGGGGCAGTCTGCGGGAGAAGACAGGAAGGGCTGGGATCAAGGGTGCAGGTAGGTGAGTATTCAGTCCTTTACCTTTGGAGGATACTTGATTATTCTACTGCTAGATAGGTTGGAAAGATTCTCCACTTACCTTTACATAAAGGGAACAAAATCCTCATTGAGAAGCAGCTAGGTGACACAGTGAATAGAGCACTGGCCCTGGAGTTAGGAGGACCTGAGTTCAAATTTGGCCGCAGACACATAACACTTACTAGCTGTGTGACCCTGGGCAAGTCACTTAAACCTAATTGCCTCACCAAAAAAAAAAATCCTCATTGAATTTACATGTTTTCTATTGAGTGTTTACTATGATACACAGATGTTTGTGTTGAGGAGAAGACAGGCAGGACTTTGCTGCATTTCAGGGTAAATTAAGGCAAAAGAAAGATCCTACCAGGGACCTCAAAGAAGTACATCCCTGCGCAGCAGAGGCCCCTGACATCTACCATCTCAATTACCTTTGCTGAGGACATAGAGATGGACATGGGCTACAATACAGTTTCCTGAAAAATAATGTTATCCTGCAGTTATTGAGAGGAATGTGTGTATGTGTGCATGTGTGTGCCCGTGAGAAGAAGAAAGAGGGATTTGAACCTTACAATGGAGGTGTGCCTGATCTCTCTCCTTCCAGGGACTTCACTAAGGAAACTTGGAATAATATTTAAATCAAGCAATTTAAAGCAAATAATGTAACTCCTTTTGGGTGCATTTTCCCCAGAGATGCAAACTTTTTTTGTTCTTTCTTGTGCTGGATGTATAGACACCATACATCCAAGTAAAAACCATTTGCAGAGTATCTAGGTGACATATGGGCCACGTTCCAAAAGTTCATTTATAAGCCAGCTATTTGGCATTTGGCATGCAAAAATAATGCATATGTGCATGTCTTTAAACTTCAGGGGCTGAGTTCTCCAGCCAGCCCATTAATATCCATTTAACCTTTGGGTGGAATAATATTAGGTAACATTTATGTTCCACTCTAAAAACTGGACAGTGTTTTATTGACATGAATTATCTCATTTGGTTGATTTCATTGCTCCTTGAGGGTTGAGTCTTTTGTCTCTTTTTGTATCCTCAGCGCTTAGTATAGCACATGGCAGACATCTGTGAAATGTTTATTGATTGATCGATTTGATCCTCACAACAACCACCCTATGAAGTAGGCTCTATTATTATCCCTACTTTAGAGATGAGGAAACTGAGGCAGACAAAGGCTAAGTGACCTGCCTGTGAGTGTCTCAGGTAGTATTCAAGCTCAGGGCTTTCTAACTACTAAGTCTAGTACTCAATCTGTTCTCTCACTTAGCATGATGGCCTGAAGACAACTGTCCACTTGGGTAAGAGCAGAGCAGACTACCCAGGCTGAGGCTGCTGTCCTGACACTAGATAGGACTCCCTACTGAGTGTCACGAGTTCTTCCTCAGTCCTTCTCTGATCTCTCAAAAGAGCCGAGACCTGTGGTGTCCTCTGGGCTGAGGAACTTGCCTGAGCAACTGGTGATGCAGTCTTAAAGTATTGCAATGATTGGTTCATCCTCAGTGGTAAGGACGGTGATTAGAGGATAGAGTGTGGGCAGTTATAGGCTCCGGGCTAACTTCTGTAGGGGAAGTTTGGGAGTGTGGAAGGAAATTAGCTCGGCTGGGGTAGGAGGTTGGAGCCCAGTGTGTGAAATAAAAAGCCAGACATGGGACCTGAGCAAAGCCTGGGAGCTATGCTGCTACTGCTGCAGCTACAGTCATCCCTGCTTTTATCCCTGTCCTGGGGAGCCACTCCAGGTATGAAGTGGGCATTGCGCTGAGGTGCAGAGTTAGTGGGAACCGAGCATCAAGGAAGCCATTCTAATATGTGGGGAAAGGAGAGGAATATGCTGCCTATGTGGGGAGATCTATTGTTCTTTCTCCTATATCTCCTCGTCCCCCCCTTAACTCTTGAGGCTACTTCCCCCATATTGTCAAGAGGTGAGAATAGTCCTTTCAGGGGGGAGGGGAGATAGGGAGATGGAATTTAGATATCAAGGAATGTGACTAGATGATCCCAAGGTCACATCTAGGTCTAAACATCTAGGGAAGAACTTCCCTATGCAATGTGGATTACATAGTAACGTAGGGGGACCATTGAAGCTTCTTCCTTCACCTCTAATCTTCCCTGTAAGGGCTGGGGATTTTGCTCTTCACACAATATAGCAGATAGGGAGAAGGAAGTTAGAACCCATTTGTGGGCAGATGGGAGTAGAATTGCCATGAATTTCTCTTCTCCTTGTTGAGAGGGGGGGCCCTAAATCACAAGGGCTGGGATAGGTTCGCACTCATGCCATCTCTTCAAGCAGGTGCTGTGGACACTAAGTCAAAGGCTGGGTGTGACAAGGGACAGGAGGGAAAGAGGGTCTGTTCTTTTCCTGACTGATGTCTCTGGTCCATCTTCTCAGCAGTGTTGGCATCATTATTGGAGAATAGCCTACAGAACTACACGTTCTCTCACACACTGTTCTGCCAGGATGAGGATCCTGTCCTGAGTCTGTCAGAGGCCTTCAATGAAGACCAGCTCTTCTCCTTTGACTTCTCCAGGAACTCCCGGGTGCCCCGGCTGCCTGAGTTTGCTCCTTGGGCCAGTGACAAGGGAGATATCGAGGCCATAAAAGCTGACCAGCGGCTCTGCCAGGAACTGCAAAAAGAATTGAGTAAACTATTGGAAGGCCACATCCCTGAGGCTAGAGGTGAGGGGTCAACATGGGGGGAAAAGGTTGTAGTCCCTGATTCTTCTTTCCCCTAAGTCCCCACCCTCCTTCCCAACTCTTGAACTCTGATTCTGATTTTGCTTCTTGTGTTTGAAGCCCAATCTGAAGGTGGGGGGAGGGTAAGAGACCAGACAAACATTCCAATTAATTTACCTGACTTGTGTGGAATGGCTGACACTGCACTTAGCACTGGGGACAATATAGAGCAAGTATACGGCATGGTCTACCTCTCACCCTCACTCCCGTGGCTGGGATCACCATCATCCAAATACTTACTAGCTGTGTGACCATGGGTAAGTCACTTCATTTCTGCTTGCCTCAGTTTCTTCATCTGTAAAAGGAATATAATAATAATAGCATCTACCTCTCAGGGTTGTTGCGAGGATCAAATGAGATAATGTTTGTAAAGTACTTTGCAAACCATAAAGTGCTAGATAAATGCAAGCTGTTGTTATTATTATTGCTATTATCAATAACAATAATCCAAATCTAGTTCTGAAATTGTTGGAATTGCTCCTTTGATGAAAGCCCTTCTTTTTGCCCCAGTCCTTCACCCCACCTTCAGCTCCTATAACCCACCTTTCCTCTGTTGCCTTCCTCCTTCCTCCTATACACAGCCCCCAAACCAAATACCCACCAGACCACTTCTCCCTCCATTATCATCCTCATGCTTGTTTCCTCTACCACCTTCCTCTAGGAAACCCTGTGGCTGAAGTTTTCACTCTGGAGCCCCTGGAGTATGGGAAGCCCAACACTCTCATCTGCTTTGTTAGTAATATCTTCCCACCTCAAGTAACTGTGAGCTGGCAGTACCAACAAGTCCCTGTGCAAAGCAGCAGCCCTACTTTTCTCTCAGCTATAGATGGACTTGCCTTCCAGGCCTTCTCTTATCTGAACTTCACACCCACATCCTCTGATGTCTTCTCTTGCACTGTGACCTGGGAAGGTGACCTCTTCAGCACTATAGCCTTCTGGGGTAAGGTCCTCCCTCCTGGTGCTTGGGTACCCTAGGGGAAGGGAAGGAATGGCATATGGATATCTATGAGGGAGGAGCCTCCTGTCCTTCTCTTTCCCTCCTTGAACTCCAACATAATCCTCAAGACCTCAGTTTCCCCTTTAGCCTTTCCTTCCTAGATCTGTCTACTAGACCATCCCTTTTCTGCCCTGGAGCTGAATGCTGACTCTGCCCTTTTTCCTTGTGTCCAGTGCCTCAGAATCCTATACCCTCTGAATTGTTGGAAAATATATTGTGTGGCATTGCCCTTGGCTTGGGAATTGTTGGCATCATAGTGGGTACTGCGCTCATCATCTACTTCCAAAAACCATGTGCAAGTGGTGCAGGTAAGAAGGCAGGGGATAACTGGAGGGAGGGTGGAATGAACCTAAGATTGTAAGGAGTGAGACCAGAGGCAAAGGAGGAACAGCAGCTCATGCCATTAGTCAAGGGCCATGTAAAGGATGTCGGGTCTTTTGTTAGGTACTAAGTGGAGAATCAGAAGAAACAAATATTATCCCTGCCTTTAGGGAGTTTATCTTTTAGTTGAGAAGCCAGAACCCCATCTCTTACATACATAAAATCAACATAAATATAAACCTATAACATAAACGTGTATGTATATATGCATATGGGGCAGCTAGGTAGTACAGTGTATAGAGTGCAGGGTTTGGAGTCAGGAAGACCTCAGTTTAAATCTGGCCTCAGACACTTACTAGCTATGTGACCCTTGGCAAGTCACTTAACCCTGTTTGCCTCAGTTTCTTCATCTGTAAAATGATCTGGAGAAGGAAATGGCAAACTACTCTTTACCAAGAAAACCCCAAATAGGGTCATGAAGAGTCAGACATGGCTGAAACAACTGAACAACAACAAAGATATATATGTATGTGTGTATATGTATACACACACACACACACACATATATATGAATGAACATACATAGGAGTGAATTATAGGATTTGTGATATGGGGAAGAATAAGGAGCATAATATGGATAATATGGTCGAGGGAGGTTGTAGGGAAAGCTTTGTTGAGAATATGCTTCCTAGGTAGAAGACATGCTATCTGACACTGAGCCAGAGTGTGATGCAAGCAAACAATAGGAGTTTTAGGTATAGGGGTTTTAGGTAAGGGAAAGATCTGTCCAACTAATAACTCATTCCTTCCTCAGACTGAATTGTTGGTACCTCAGCCTGGCTTTTTTCACTTCTGTTGCAACCACTACTACAAAAGGCATTTTTTCCAGGGATTTCCTTCTGAGAAGAGATGAGGTCCCCCCGGAGCTGGGAATCCACAGGGCAGAGGCCCTTCCACTGGGGATCTCAGAGGGTCCTTTCCTGTATTATACTTTCTCCCCTATTTGTGACAATAAAGGTTATTTCTTAATGTCTGATGTAGTCACTTTCAAAATGGAAATAATGTTTGCTATAGGACTTCTCCACCTTAATGTCCCTCAGTCACTTCAGATTGACTGTATATATGTCAGTTTTCAGAAGATATTTCCTTATAACTAGAGCTATCCCAAATTGCAGTGGGCTGCCTCAGCAAGTAGTGACTTCCTCATCACTGGAGACTTTCAGTGGAAGGCTATTCAGGTTTATTTTTCTGGAATTCAGCTTCTACCCCCAAAAATTCTCTTTCCCCCAAGTTTCCATCTCATTTCTATTTAATGATGCTACCATTTTCCTGGTGTTCCATACAGGAAACCTTAGAGTCATCTTCGACTCGTCCCTTTCTTTCAATACTTACAGCCAGTGGTGTAATGGTTTACAACAGGCTGTCTGGGGAAAAAAATGTATACACACTTTTATGTTTAATTTGCATTATTAATATTTTCTCCATCACTCTCTTAAGTCTGGACAATCAATGAAACAATGATATTAGCCCCAACTGGTAGCATTTGTCAAGGTAAATGCTCACATTGAAAATTTAACAATGGGCTGTCATGAGCCAGTATCAGCTGCCTCCAGTACACCCCTGTTTATGGTCAACCACTTACCAAACCCTATTCTTTCTTCCTTTGAAACCTCTTTCCTTTAGTCCACACTGTGACTGCCGTAGTCCAGAGGATTATAGAATTATCTGAAGATGACAGAATTGTGGCTATAGCTTCCTAGCTGTCCTGCTTGTCTTCCTTCTCTCTCTGCTCACATTTTTCTGCCAGACTAGTCTTAAATCTCTCAAATGTTACTCCCTTACTTAAGAATTTTCAGTGACTTTCTGTTTCTTCAGTCGAATCTAAACTCCACATCCCTTAGTAACCTGTTGCTCAGATTCTTAGCTCTGAACTCAGGCTGAATCTCTGCAGCCACTCATGATAGCTCACAATGATGGCTAAATCCCTACCCTTGGTTTAGCCCCTAGGCGACATCTGAATTTTATTCTTGCATCTCTAAGGGCCCTTTTACCAGCTCTTCCAGTTACAAACCATTTGAACACAGCGTTTGCTCACTGTCCTCAGGACTCTGAAGGACTTCTTTAGTCTCACTGCTCAAGGACTGCAATGAGGGAGTGAGGTCTTCTTACCTCATCTGCCTACTCTTCCTGGGCCCTGCTCCGTCTTTTCACCACTTGTTCAGTTTCTGCTACCACTATGGCTGCCATGATGAATACCACCACAGTTCACCATAAAGAGTGATGGTCCAGGCTCAGTCTTGGCTTCACCATCTCTTTCAGCAGCCTGGCTGCCGCAAGATGAAAATGAATGGTCCTGGTGTTTGGGGATGAGGTTCAAATAAAAATCAGTCTCAGAACCTCCAGTAGAAACATGTGTCATTCTTTTCTAATCCCCAGTGGACATCCTCTGGTCAACCTAAGATAATACACAGGCCTGTCTTGCAGTTCATAAGATTTATACCTGGAAGGGATAATCGAGGCCATCTAGCCTGGCCCAGGGTTACAAAGATCAAAGTAGAAGATTTGGACTATAGGTCCTCTGCTTCAAAGCTTATCTTACTCTCACCCGCTTCTATGCTGTCAGAGGTCAAACACTGCTGTGTGAATCAAATATTAATAACTCCTCCACTTTACTTCAATAATCTGATTCCACATTACTAACTGGCTCACATGAACTCTCACTGTTAATCAGGTGAGTATACTCATTGTTCCATGCACATTCTTGCCTTTGTCTATGGTATTTTCTCTACATGAAATATTTTCCCTCCTCCTGTCTGCTTAGCCAAATTCTAGCCATCCTCCAAAGCCCCTCATGAGTTCTACCTCCTTAATGACAGCTTTCCTGACTGTTCTGTATTCGAGGATCTCTGTCTTCTCAGAACTTTGGTTACAACTGGAGAATCCTGGAGAGATCCTTTAACCCAATTGCTTTACCAAGGAAATGGAAGCCCTCTTTTTCTTTTTCTCAGTTTCTATTTATTTTATTTTTAATTTATGGAATAAAATAAGCATTTCTATAACAGTACAATAAAAAGGTGATTGCATATGAAATTGCAAATCTACTATGCACAACTTGCTATTCTTTTCAAATAGACAACAAAATTATAATGTAAATTTCATTTTTTCCTTTCTTTTTTCTTTCCTCCCCTCCTCCTGCCCTACAGATGGCTACCATTATACACAAATAAGTGTATATATATATATATATATACATATATATATATGTAAAATTATTCTAACCATACTTCTGCTTATCAGTTCTTTCTCTGGATGCAGATAGTATCTTTTTTCATATGTCCTTCCTTCTTTAACAATAATAACTGAAATTTGGAGATTGCTTTGCAGCTTACAAAATTTTAATATAGAATATCACCTATGATCCTCATTAATGGCTGAATTGCTGTCAATATATTTGTGTGGGTTTGAATCCTACTCCTGATCCTCATTAGCTATGTGATTTTTATTGTTATTTTTACCTCCTAGAGGCTCAGTTTCTTTGTCTGTAAAATGGTGATGAAACTTATACTTTCTACATCACAGAGTTGTGAGGAAAACGCTTTGCAAACATTAATGTGCTATATAAAAATAAATTACTATAGATATTGTTGCATATATTTTCTCCCTAACTAGAATGTAAATTTCTTAAGGTCAGAGACCATTTCTTATGAATCAAATGAGGCAGCTAAGTGGCCAAGTAAATACAGTGACAGGCCTACAGTCAGGAAGAGGAGTTCAAGTCAGACCTCACTTACTAGCTGTGTTAACCTAGGCAAGTCACTTAAACTGCCTCAATTTCCTTATCTGTTAAATGGGATTAATAGTAACACCTATCTTCCAGAGTTATTGTGAGGATTTTTTTTTCTTTTTCTTTAATAAATTTATTTATTTTTAGTTTTCAATATTCACTTCCACAAGTTTTTGAGTTTCAAATTTCTCACCCCTCCCCCCACCCCAAGATGGCATGCATTCTGAATACCCCTTCCCCTGGTCTGCCTTCTCTTCTATCTCTCCCCCCTCCCTTCTCTTATCCCCTTCCCCTTCTATTTTCCTGTAGAGCAGGATAGACTTCTGTACCCCATTTCCTGTATTTCTTATTTCCCAGTTGCATGTGAAAACATTTTTTTAAAAACGTGTTTTTAAAACTTTGAGTTCCAAATTTTCTCCCTTCCTCCCTCCCCATACACCCTCATTGAAAAGGCAAGCAACTCAATATAGGTTGTGCATGTGCAGTTATGCAAAACACTTCCTTAGTAGACATGTTGTGAAAAACTAACTCTATTTCCCTTAATCCTATCCTGCCCTCCCATTTATTCTATTCTTTCTTTTGACCCTGTACCTCCTCAGAAGTATTTGCTTCTGATTACCCTCTTTCCCAATCTGCCTTCCTCTCTATCACCCCCTGCTCTCTTGTCCCCTTCTCCCCCTATTTTCCTGTAGGGTAAGACAGATTTCCATACCCAATTGAATGTGTATGTTATTCTCCTTAAGCCAAATCCTATGAGAATAAGATTCCCTCATTCCCTCTCACCTTCCCCTGTTTCCCCTCCACTGTGAGAACTTTTCTTTTGTTTTTTTTTTTGTGAGATAATTTACCCCATTCTACCTCTCCCTTTCTTCTCCGAGTATCATCCTCTCTCATCCCTTAATTTTATTCTCCAGATATGACCCCTTAATCTTCAACTCACCCTGTGCCCTCTATCTATCTCTATATATACATACATACAATTTTTTTCCTTCAACTACCCTAATACTGACAAAGGTCTCATGAGTTTTAAATACCATCTTTCCATGCAGGAATGTAAACAGTTCAATCTTAATAAGTCTCTTATGATTTCTCTTTCCTGTTTACCTCTTCATGTTCCACTGGAGTCCTGTATTTGAAAGTCAAATTTTCTGTTTAGCTCTGGTCTTTTCATCAGGAATGCTTGAAAGTCCTCTATTTCACTGAATGACCATTTTTTCCCCTGAAGGATTATACTCAGTTTTGCTGGGTAGGTGATTCTTGGTTGTAATCCTATCTCCTTTGCCCTCTGGAATATTATATTCCATGCCCTGCGGTCCTTTAATGTAGAAGCTGCTAAATCTTGTGTTATCCTGATTGTGTTCCCACAGTACTTGAACTGTTTCCTTCTGGCAGCTTGTAATATTTTCTCCTTGACCTGGGAACTCTGGAATTTGGCTACAATATTCCTAGGAGTTTTCCTTTGGGGATCTCTTTCAGGAGGAGATCTGGATTCTTTCAATTTCTATTTTGCCCTCTGGTTCTAATATATCAGGGCAGTTTTCCTTGATAATTTCTTGAAAGATGATGTCTAGGCTCTTTTTTTGATCATGGCTTTCAGATAGTCCAATAATTTTTAAATTCTCTCTCCTGGATCTATTTTCCAGGTCAGTTGTTTTTCCAATGAGATATTTCACATTGTTTTCTAATTTTTCATTCTTTTGGATTTGTTTTACAGTGTCTTGATTTCTCATAAAGTCACTATCTTCCAATTGCTCTATTCTAATTTTTAAGGAAGTATTTTCTTCAGTAATCTTTTGGACTTCCTTTTCCATTTGGCCAATTTTTCTTTTTAGGGCATTTTTCTCCTCATTGGCTTTTTGGACCTCTTTTGCCATTTGGGTTAGGCTATTTTTAAGGTGTTATTTTCTTCAGTATTTTTTTGGGTCTCCTTTAGCAAGCTGTTGACTTGTTTTTCATGATTTTCTTGCATCACTCTCATTTCTCTTCCCAGTTTTTCCTCTACTTCCCTTACTTGCTTCTCAAAATCCCTTTTGAGCTCTTCCAAGGCCTGGGACTGATTCATATTTTTCTTGGAGGCTTTGGATGTAGGAGCTTTGATTTTGTTGTCTTCTTCTGGTTGTATATTTTGATCTTCTTTTTCACCAAAGTAAGATAATATAGTCTGACTCTTTTTGCACTGCTTGCTCATGATCCCGGCCAATTACTTGAGTTTTAAACTCTTTGTTAAGGTAAGAGTCTGCTTCCA